AGTTATCATTAACACTGTGTAATCCCCTCTTCCAAATGTGAAATAGACTTCAGTGGTTAGTCAGCAAATATTTATAGGTGGTGCAGTAGATAGCATGCCAAGCCTATAGACAGAAAGAACTGAGTTCAAATTTAGGCTCAGATATTTACTAGCTATGTGACCTTTGGTAAGTCACTCAAACTTTTTTTGCCTTGGTTTTCTTATTTGTAAAATGGAGATGATAATAACAGCACTTATTTCCCAGGGTTCTTGTAAGAATAAAATAATATGTATTAAACATTTTGTAAAGCTTAAAGCACCTATTTATATATATTAATTGTAAATATTATTTGTTATTATTATTATTATATAACTCCTAGCTAATATTTTTGTACGTTAGAAGTGACTACAGGGAGGTGTAGCCTAAGTGCTGCCCCAAACCCTCTGAAAACCTTTAAATAATGCCCTACAACAAATTCTGGAGCAGCAGAACCCACAAAAGGATAATTTTCCAGCCAAAGGCACATTAGAAGGGCAGCAAAAAGGCTTGTCCCACTGGGGTGAGAGTGGAGCGTAGTGCAGTGCAGGCTATGCCAGTGCAGACCAGGCCCCAGAAAACCAGGAGCAGGCCTTGGGAGCCGCCGAATCAGCAGGAGCACTCAGCCCACAGATGGTAAGGGGCTGAACAACTGGTCACAAAGAAATTACAAGGGTCTCTTTGCCGGCACTGGGGGCAGCGTTTTTTTTTTTTCACCCTTACTCAGATCTGGGTCACAGTCCTAGGTGGCAGTCCCAGGGTGACAAGGAGCACTAGCACATCAGAACTTATGGCCACAGTGGAGCAGGGACACTTGTCACAGTTTCAGAGCAGAAAAGAGTATTTGTGGTCGCTCGCAGACCAGACCACAGGCCAGGAGAGTAGTAAACACACTTCTCCTTAGGTCATACCACCATGGAAGAACTGAAAACTTACAGGTAGAAGTACCTCTGAAAACAGCTGTAGAAAACCTCTAAAGTATGCCCTCAACCCTGGCAACAGACCCCTGTGTCAGCAAAGAGTTAAAAGTCAAGAAATAGGCTGGAAAAATGAGCATACAACAGAAAAAAATTCTGACCATAGAAAGTTACTATGGTGACAAGGAAGATCAAAAGACACACTCAGAAGACAACAAAGTCAAAATTCCTGCATCCAAATCCTCTGAGAAAAATGCAAATGGGTCTCAGGCCACGGAAGGGCTCGAAAAGGATTTTGAAAATCAAGTAAGAGAGGTGGAGAAAAAATTGGGAAGAGAAATGAGAGTGTTACAAGAAAACTATGAAAAATAAGTCAACAGATTGGTAAAGAAGGCACCAAAAAAAAAAAACGAAGAAAATAACACCTTAAATAACAGACTAGGCCAAATGGTAAAAGAGGTACAAAAATTAATAAGAAGAAAAGCAGAATTGGCCAAATGGAAAACAATATGCAAAAGTTTACTGAAGAAAAGAACTCTTTGAAAAGCAGAATTGGAAAATGGAAAAAGAGACATAAAAATTTGCTGAAGAAAACACTCCTTAAAAAGAAGAACTGGTCAAATGGGAGGAAAAAAAAGCTCACTGAAGAAAATAATCCTAAAAAATTAGAAATGAGCAAATGGAAGCTAATGACTTTATGGGAAATCAAGAAAAAATAAAACAAAACCAAAAGAATGAAAAAATAGAAGAAAATGTGAACTATCTTACTGGGAAGATAACTGACCTGGAAAATAGATCCAGGAGAGATAATTTAAAAATTAGCCATGATCAAAAAGAGAGCTTAGACATCATCTTTCAAGAAATTATCAAGAAAAACTGCCCTGATATTCTGGAGCCAGAGGGTAAAATAGAAATCAAAATAATCCACTGATCATCTTCTGAAAATGTTCTGAAAACAAAAACTCCCAGGAATATTATAGCTAAATTCCAGAGCTTCTAGGTCAAGGAAAAAATATTGCAAGCAGCCAGATAGAAACAATTCAAGTATCATGAAGCCACAGTCAGGATAACACAAGATTTAGGAGCTTCTACATTAAAGGATAAGAGGACTTGGAATATGATTTTCTGGAGGGCAAAAAAAGCTAGGATTACAACCAAGAATCACCTACCTACAAAGAGAGACATAAAAAGGTAAACAGGACAGAAAAAAAACCACAACATATTATTAATAAGGGCAAACTATTTACATCCTTACAAGGGAAGTTGACACTAGTAACTCTTGAGAACTGTATTGTTATTACACCATTGTAAAGGGGAATACATAGACAGAGGTATAAGTTGGGTATAAGTTAACTTTGATGTAATGATTTTTAAAAATCTAATTAAGTGGGTTAAATGGATCTAAGGAAGTGGATTAATTGGATCTAATTAAGGGATTGTACTGGGAAAAAAGGAAAGGAGGAAGCAGAAAAGGGTAAATTATATTACAGGAAAAGGCACAAAAACCTATTACAGTAGAGGGAAATAAGGGAGGGAGATGAGCATTGTTTGAACCTTACTCTCATCAAGGAGGGAAAAACATAATCAGGTATAGAAATCTAACTTGCCCTATAGGCAGTAGGAGGGAAAAGGGAAAATAAAAGGGAGGGAGGATAGAAAGGAGGGAAGAAGTAGTAAGGGGAAGAAAAGGAGGGAGCTAATAGAAGGGTAGGTTGACTGAGGGAGGCAGTAGTCAAAAGCAAAACACTATTGAGGAGGGAAAGAGAGAAAGGAAAAAGAAAAGCACGAATGGGGGAGGAGGGAGAAACAGGATGGAAAGACAGTATTCATAATTGTGAATGTGAATGGGATGAACTCTCTCATAAAACAGAAGCAGATAAGAGATGGAATTTTGTGGTGTTACTTAGCAAAAAATATGTCTGTTTTTTACATAGTTCTCAGATATGATCTTTTATATCTTAAGAGTAAGCAGAGAAGGGAAGGGAAAAAGCATTTGTATAGCACCTTCTGTGTCCCTGGTACTATGCTAACTAAATATTTTACAAATATTATGTCATTTGATCCTCACAACAACCCTGAAAGATAGGTCTTATTATTGTTCCCATTTTTATAGTTTTGGAAACTGAGGCCAACAAAGGGTAAGTGGTTTTTCCAGGGTCACAGAGCTAGTAAGTGTTTGAGGAAAATATGAAATCAGGTCTTCCTGATTCCAGGCTCAGCACTCTATCTCCTATTCCATCAGCTGCCCTCTGCTTTAGCATATAATTTGCAGTTTTCTTCAACAGTCAGCATACATATACAGCTTCATTCTTCATATCATTTTCATTTAATTTTCTCACTTTATTGGCCTAAACAGGTATTTTAAAAATTGCTTCTAGGGCAGTTTGACTTCTGAAAATGAAGTTATCACTTTTTTGTAGTGCTATGTCATCATGCATAATAAAGTAATTTTTACAATGTGAGTATTGGCTGGTTGTTGGTGATGATACGTGGTTCAGGAAGAATGCAAATAGACTCTTCCAGGCTCAGCTCAGCCAGCAGTGCTGAAAGTAACAAGAAACTTCTGAGTTGTAAGCTGAATAAATGTGACTTGGAGGTCACAGCATGAGGGCATATATGCATCTTCAAGGCCTTGTTTTGACAAAGTGGCTTATTTCTCCAGGGGGCCATTTTAGCATTTTTTCCAGCTAGTTTCACCTTTCACCAGTTATTTTGTCAACCTCTCCTCCCCCTGCATAATTAGTAGGTAGGTTCATGATTATGGGAATTCTTGTTTGTTTTTCTTCCCTAGTTTACAACTGTCATTACATTATGATGGGGAAATTATGAAATACAAACTCCCCCCACAATTCAGATGAGGAACTCATCTATAATTTATTGTCTTACAGAGTAAGTAAGGGGGTACTTCAAGGTTAAATGACTTGCCTACAGTTATATAGCTACAAGGAGGACTTGAACCCAGGTCTCCCTGTTTTCAGGGCTTGGCCTTTATCCACTGCACTAAAGAAAAACAGTTAGGAGTCGATTCTGAACAGTTTTCTGGCTTTCAATAGAATTCATTCAGTTTATAAGTCAATTTAAAGATCATTAGGGTATTAGTATATGGCTGTGTGGAAAATTTTTAAGGTGAAATTACAGTAATTATGAAGGAGTCTCAAAATTAGGAAAGGTTATTTTTATCCAAATCATTATGGAGAGCAGTTCATTACTAACTACTTAAAGAAATCAAAATGAGCTCTGAAGTGAGTTACTTTAAAAATATGTTAATGTGGTTCTCTGCAACTTAAGTAATTTATTTCAACGGTCTATTCCTCAAAACCCATTTCCAGCAGTTTCCAGCAGCAATTCTCTCATTACAGATATGGTGGTCAATTTTCTTTACCCCACTGGGAAGAAAAATATATACCAAAAACATCCTGAGGAAAAGCCCAAATATGAACCTTCATAAAGTATACAAGCTCTGATTCAGAGTAGAACAATAATGGTACTCTGTTGTTTTCAAGTAACTTGAAAAGTCAGCAACTTAGGTATTAGAACTTGGAGAGGGGGAAAAAATCTAGACCAGCAGATAATTTTAGAGGTATTAGGACAGATGGAATAAGAAAGGCAAGATGTAAAAGTGAAAGAACGGTGAGCCTGGGTAAGGAGACAGGAGTTTAAGTGCCGGCACTTTGGCTGGGCCAGCTGCACAACCTCAGACAAAGCCCTTCACCCTTAGCCTTAGGCTCTTCATCTGGAAGATGAAGATATTTGTGCTACCTCACTCACAGTGTTAATGTAAGGATAATACATAAATTGTAAAGTACTGTATAAAATAAAACAAGATCAAGTGTTCAGAGACTATTATCTGGGTAATGACTTGTTGGTAAGATCACATAAAGAAATTCTCTTATTTAGGTCAGGGAGCCAAAAATGTAGTCCAATCCAATAAGCATTAAGTATCTACAGTGTACAAGATGCTAAATAGTATGGATATTTCTGGATATAAGAACAAGTACTTTTGAATATAGAAATCAGCCTATATGCTTGTCAATCTTAAATATTATTTTTGTCTATTTTCTCCACAGAGTTACAGCAAACCTGTTAATGTTAAAACATCCCAGCCTCTTCAGGGGATTAAGTGTAAAAAGTCAGTGTTCCATGATTCCACCCACACTCATTCAGTCTTCTCCCCAAGTTCCCACTCTCACCAACAGCCAAGAGTGAAGCGTCAAGTAACTGCCATGCACCCTATTCTTCCCAGGAACATAGCACCAAAACCTGATAATCAAATGCCAGCGACTGTCTCTGCAGCCAACGTGACAGTATCGCCTCCTCAGCTTGTGGAAATGAAAATTGATATGCCACTTTACTTTTTCAATTTACTACATATTAATGATCAATCTACTATGTATTATGTGGCTCCCTCATTATGTGAGTTTGAGCTCCCTTAAGCCTGTAACTTCAGTTCCCTACTCCACCTGACTTAAGCATCACCAACCAATCATAGCACAATGCCTGTCTCTTGACACTGGCCAGTCAAAACTCATTCTCCATCTCTGAAGTCCCAAGTTATTTTTGTCTCCTACATATTGTTTGGATTTCTGTATACTCCCCTCAACTATAAAAGAGCTGCTCTGTCAGTTGGATCCTTGACTACTAAGGGCTTTGGATCCCTTTTATTGGCAATAGCTAGCTTTGCTAATAAATTGATTATACTTGAATCTCTGTGCCTCAGTTTCTCTTTATCGCAGATTTTTATCTTGACAAGAGCCCACCTCTTCACCATCATCTCAATATACAGCAACACCAGGCAATCACAATGAGCAGCCAATTGGAAACCAACTACCAATGCAGGTCCAGTCTGCCTTACATTTACCCACAATGCAACAAGTATTTGCCAACTCTTGACTCAAGCCTCTTTTGTTAAGCACAAAATAAGATTGTTTATTATAATAAATCAGAAGGGACTTTTATCTCTTTCTCTGTTCTGCAGAATAGAATTATTGTACTTTTACAGCATTTCAGTGTAACAGATGCATTGTGACAGGTGAAATCTGAAACAACTGAGGAAGCAAAGGTTTCAGCTTCTGAGCATATCAGTTTATCAAGCCATACATGGTCATTGGATAAGAAATTGGGAACAGGCCTCTTCAGCTTGGTACTGGACCCTGAATACAGGAGGAGACAGACTTTTACACATTAAAAGTAAACAACAGGCTATAAACCAGAATGCAAGATTAGGTAATCTCATTTCTAATTGGAGGAAAGATTAGGGGCTTTCCAAGTTACCAGGTAGGGATAAGGAAGTTTGGGAGGGTGGGTGGAGAGTGAGCAAGTGAACTTTAATGTGGGTTTAGCTCAGTTGAAAAGGAGATGAACATTCTAAACCAGTCCAGATTATACCCTAAAAAGAGGTAAAAGGGTATCATAGCAAAGGGACCTTATGTGCTTCCAGGCAAAGACAACAGAAACTTGCTTATTTGCTTACTATGTTTGACTCTGATTCTGAGAGCAGTGTTTTGCAATAATGGTCACACACATATGTGTATTCCCTTGTTTATACAACTCTGAAAATATGAAACTGAACATTAATTTTCAATTCTATTTTGTTAAGACTTAAGCTAAATTTAATATTGCTGTTTTTGCTCTTACAGGTTTACTCCTCAGATCACTTTGGGTCACAATCCTATTCTTGTAATTAAGGTATTCATTCTATTCTAGTGACTTGTACTCCTACTTTTGTAACTCCACCCATCACCTACTTTACAGAGACTTGATTAGCCTAAAGGTCAATCTCATCAATTTAAAACTGCTGTAGCAACACCCATTGCCCTCTTATAAAGTCTGACATCTTTTAAGTTTTTGAATACAATTAAATTGTGATCTTAAATCCTTTGTTCTAAGGCTAATCTAATTAGAAATCCTTTAACCATCCTGGTGTAGAAAAATTAAAACCTCATTTTTAGTAAAAATGAAAATATAGTGTGTCCTCAAAGTCTTAAAGCAGTTTTAAGCTTTAGCAGCTTAATAACCATAAGCTAATAGTTTATTTAATTTTGATAAATAATAAAGTATTAATTTATTTAGTAGAATAATAATAATAGTTATTAAAGCTTAAAACTGCACTAAGACTTTAAGGACACCTGTACTAAGAAATAATATTTCTCTAGCCCAAAACTAGACTCTTTTAGGAAAGTGAGTAAAACAAAAACTAAAGATTTTCTTAGGAAAATGAACTAACAAAGAGTATCTGTGGTTTTATGCACATCATAGCCTCCCTAACCACCTGACAGGATTTATCCTTCTTCTTAGAGAAAGGATTAAGATATCCCTGGAAAGAAAGATATCTTTTATTTACTCCTAGACTGAAGTCCTGAAGGACTGGACTGTTAATCTGATTGCTCAACTAGTCTGAAATTTTTTTTTTCCATAGTCAAGATTCCTGAAAACTTCTTGGGGCAGAGAAGGTATCAGAGGGCATGGCAAACTATGCCAGTTTGGAGATATATGTGTGCCTGTATGTATATACATGTATGTATTTGTTCAGTCCTGTTCAACTCTTCTTGACTCCTTTTGGGGTTTTCTTGGCAAAGACATTGGAATGATTCTTCATTTCCTTCTCCACCTCATTTTATTGATGAAGAAACTGAGGCAAACAGGGTGAAGTAACTTGCCCAGGGTCACACAGCTAGTGTCAGAGGCCAGATTGGAACTCAGGAAGATGAACCTTCCTGACTACACACAAATATATGATAATAAGGTAATAATAAGGTCTAAGAGTTGTGGTGGGGATTGTGCCTTTGATATCTTCCCCTTCTTCAGATACCTTGAGAATCAGTTTTTTAAAGTACTAAAATTTGTATCCCTTCCACCCCAAACTTTCTCTTTGATTTCTTGATCTAGTCTAATAATTCTTCCTATCTTTTCTTTTTTTACTGCCATCTCCACTTTCTGTATAATGTATAGGCATATACATACACACACATACACACATATATACATATACTTAAATATACACACATGACTATACATATAAAACCATATTTGGATTCTGATGTCCAAATGTGGTTGCTCCATTGACCTTAACAGTGAAAAAAGTTCTTCATAAACATCTTTACAGATCTTCTCTATCTATCCTGTATTCAGTTTCATCCTTAAAAGTCTCGGGATACAGGGCAGCTAGGTGGCTCAGTGGATTGAGCACTGGCCCTGGACTCAGAAGGACCTAAGTTCAAAGCCGGCCTCAGACACATAACACTAGCTGTGTGACCCTGGGCAAGTCACTTAACCCCATTGCCTAGCCAAAAAAAAAAAAGTCTTGGGATGTCTTGTTTAGTTGAATTTCTTAATAAGTTTTCCTTAAACTTGTTTTTTCTTTTCTTTTTCTTTTTTCTTTTTGGTGATGCAAGCAGGGTTAAGTGACTTGCCCAGGGTCACACAGCTAGTGGGTATCATGTGTCTGAAATTGGATTTGAACTCAGGTCCTCCTGACTCCAGGGCCAGTATTCTATCCACTGCACCATCTAGCTGCCCCTTTTTTCTTTCTTTGATGATACAACTACATTAATATTTTTCTATTGTACTTTTCCATAATATTTTATAAATCAATTTATATTCAAATAGATGAAGCATTGATTAAGGCAGTTTTCGTGAGTTTTTTGTTTCTTCACTATGGCATTTGATTTACATTGGGTAAATTTCTATATATAATCATTATAATAGGTATTGATATCCTTTCCTTTATCTGTTTGTCACTTTTGATCACCAGCAATTTGTTCTACCTCCATACACCTGGTATTGGTCTTGCTCCACTGATAACACTGATACCCTAGTTTAGGCCCTCATCACCTCTCATGTCAACTATCGAAATAATCTCATCATTGCTTTCTTAACTTCCACTGTCTTTCTTCTCCAATATATCCTCCACTCGGCTGCCAAAAAAAAAAATCTTCCTAAAGCAGTTCTTACCATTTGATTCCCCCATTCAAAAAGTTCTAGATGTAGTGGCTCCTCAGTGCCACTAGGATAAAAAACAATTCACCTGTTTGTCTTTCAAAGACCTTCACCATACTTCCCATGTCTACCTTTGTACAGGTTATCTCTTGTGCCTCAAATATAAAGTCTTTTATCCCCTTCTCACAGAACCCTAACTTCCTTCAAAGATGAGCTCAGGTGCTACCTCCTATAGGAAGCCTGTTTTTACCCCTCTTTTGTTCCACAGATTCTTCTGGCCAAAGAATTTATCACTAATAGGCAGTTGAGAGGTAATGAGTTTCTCATTGTTTAGCAAAGCTCATCCTGTCCCAAGGACCACACTCAGAGCCTTTGCAGCACAATAGAGTTTTTTTGCTTGCCTGGTGGGACAAGTGGGTCTTCATGATACTTAAGCCTTTCACAATTACACAAAGCTCTCAAAGCACTTATGCTTTACTATAGAGAGGGGGAAAAATATATATAGCAAAGTAAATACAAAACACATGCCAAGGAAATACATATTAATTTCAGTAGAGGGTGAGGGAAGTACAAAACACTAAAGAGGATCAAGGAAAGTCCCATGTATGAGGTGGCTTTTTTGCTAGTCACCAATGCAGATATATATGACCAACAGCCATTCTCCAATAGGTAACTGGTCAAAGAATACGAAACGTTTTTAAAATATGAATTATAAACTGTGACCACCTAAAAATGCTCCAAATAAATAAGGTATAAAATGAAAATTAAAACCTCATTCAGGCTTTACTGATGGTTTTAAGCCATTAAAATATGGAAATAATCAATTTTGCAGGGGCTACAAGAAGACAGGTACACTATATTTATATCCAGTTTCTCTGAATAACAGTTTGGAATTATTTAAGAAAGATGGCTAAATTCTAGACCAAGAAAGTCAGAGGTAAAAACAAAGTTCCAAAATATCTTAGAAGAAACTAAGTGGAGTGGGGGGGGACAGGGAAGCAAAGAACTGAAAACTAAATGGGCACCCATCAACTTTGGAGAAACTGAACATACGGTGATATATATGTTCAACACTCCTTCTGGGCTACCTCCCAAACACAGCATTCACACTTTAGAAGGTAGGTTCCTTAAGGAATGACTACCTTGTGTATAAGGGCATATTCTAGGGGTTAATTATCTTTCTTGTGACATAGACTTCTTTGGCAGTCTGGAAAATTTGTTTGAATGCATAGTTTTACAAAGAGAAACTATATGGAATAGACTCATCAAAATATTAAAAAAAAACAAGATGTGGGAAAATTGGAACACTAATACATTGTTGGTGGAGTTGTGAAATGATCCAACTATTTTGGAGAACAATTTGGAACTATGCCCAAAGGGCTACAAAAATGTGCATACCCTTTGATCCAGCAACAGCACTTCTAGGGCTATATCCCAAAGAGATCAAACAGATGGGAAAAGGACCCACATGTACAAAAATATTCATAGCAGCTCTTTTTGTGGTGGCAAAGAATTGGAAATTGAGAGGATGCCCATTAGCTGGGGAATGGCTAAGCAAGTTGTGCTATACGAATGTGATGGAATACTATTGTGCTATAAGAAATGATGAACAGGCTGACTTCAGAAAAACCTGGAAAGACTTATATGGTCTGATGCTGAGTGAACTGAGCAGAACCAAGAGGACTTTGTACACAATAACAGCCATGTTATGCAATGACTAATATTGTTAAACTGAACCCTTCTCAGAATTACAAGGATCTAAGACATCTCTAGAGGCCTCGGGATGGAAAATGCTGTCCACATCCAAAGAAAGAACTATGGAAGTCGAATCACTATCACTTATTTTTACCTTCTGTTGAGTTTTGTTTCATCTTTCTGATGGTTCCTCCTATTGGTTTTAATTTTTGCTTACAACTCC